CGGATCCTATTTCTGTGCCAAATCTGCTGCTGGTTGTTGTGGTGGTGATAATGCTGGTGATATGAAGTTGTGTCCCAGGTCCCATTCCTGTCACCCCTCTGGTTCCCAAACCTCAGATCGTTGTGCCGAACATCAACCCTTGACCCAATTCTTGGATCTTTGTCCCAGCCTTGGGCTACCCCAAATGGTTCTGCCCCAAATGTCACCTCTGGGCCACACTCAGTGCCCTCTTTCATGAAATGTCACAAAAATGTCAGGATTTGGGCCCAATGTTGAAGCCAGGGGTCCAGAACTCAAATTTTGGGCCAAAAGTCCCAAATTGAGGCCAGGTTTGGGTCGGTGGCTGTGACTCGGTGCCAGCCGGGCAGATTTGGGGCAGAACCGGCCAAGTCTGGGGGCAGTGGTTGGGATTTGGGGGCCAAGGCTGAGCTGAGGGTGAAAGCGGCCCTGATTTGGGGCCAGGAGCTGAGATTTGGGGCCAGAGCAGAGCCAGGGTGGGACAGAGGGTCAGGAATGGGGTCAGGGGCTGCAGGGAAGGGTCTGGGGCACGGGGACAGGGGGAACATGGTGACAGCGATGGGGCCGAAACAATAACCATGAGCAGCATAAAGATAAGCGTCAGAATCAGCAGCTTTGGCACAGAAATAGGATCCGGAATCCTCGTCCTTGAGGTTGTTCATGGTCAGCGTCACCGAGCTCTGCCCGTTGTCCCTGGAGATCGTGAACCGGCCCTGCACCGAATCCGCGTAGTCGGTGTTGGCACCGCTTTTGCTGATGCCGGCAACAAATTCCAGCCCCTGCCCGGGTCTCTGGCGGATCCAGTACATGCGAAACTTGCCAAAGTCGAACCCGGACCCTCGGCAGAGGAGGCGCAGGGACCCCCCAGGGGGCTGGAGGTCCCCCCCGGACTCCAGCAGGGTCACGGCCGCCCGGAGCCCTGCGGGGAAAAGGGGAGATGGGGATGAGGAGATGGATCGGGGCGTGGGCTGGAGTGGGCGTGGTGCTGTGGAGGTGGGTGGATCCCAGGTACTGAGCGCAAGCAGGGCCAGGACCAGGAGAATTGGGAGGTCCAAAGGTCACAGTTTGGGGCCAAGAATCAGGATTTCTGTCACTGTTTGGGCTTTTGCCTTCCCCATCCCCTCTTTTTGTTCCACAGGGCTCCGGGCGGCCGTGACCCTGCTGGAGTGCGGGGGGGACCTCCAGCCCCCCGGGGGGTCCCTGCGCCTCCTCTGCCGAGGGTCTGGGTTTGATTTTGGCAGTTTTGGAATGAACTGGGTTCGACAAAGACCCGGGCAGGGACTGGAATTCATCGGAGGAATCAACACTAATGGGAGCAACTGGTACGTGCCATCGTTCAAGGGCCGGGTCAGGATCTCCAGGGACAACGGGCAGAGCTCGGTGACGCTGACCATGAACAACCTCCAGGACGAGGATTCCGGATCCTATTTCTGTGCCAAACATTCTGGTGCTGGTTGTTGTTGGGCTGGCTATGGTGACGGTGCCGGTGGTGGATCCACCCCCATCTCAGTGTCCCCCCTGTCCCCAAAGGCAGACCCTTCTCCCAGCCCTCAGCTCTCGGCTCTTTGTTCCAAGTCTCACCCATTTGTACCAATCGTGAGGACTGACCCAAAATCCTTCGGATTCAGTCCCAAAACTCAACCGTTGGCCCCAAACCTTCACCCCTGGCCCCCAGTTCTGCCCTCCACCCAATCAGGGCCGGGGGAGCTGGGGGAGATTTGGGCTCCACTTCCTTCCCCAAATCCTGGCTCTGAAGGTCGGGATTTGAGGCCGTGGGTCTGGATTTGGGGGAAAACGTTGAGGATTTGTGTCAGCAGCTCTGGCTGGGAGCCCAAAGTGGAGATTTGGGGCAGAATCGGGTGAATTATGGTGCCAAACCAGTTGGGTTTGGGGTAAGAGCTCAGCATTGGTGGAAATGGGGGAGACGTGAGACAAAGGGTCACGGGCTGAGGTTTGGGGGAAGGGTCTGGGGTTTGGGGACAGGTGGGGAAACCGAGATGTGGGTGGTTCCACCGCTGCTGGCGCCTTCCCGATAAGCAGCAGCAGCACAACAACAATTATCAGCACGTTTGGCACAGAAATAGGATCCGGAATCCTCGTCCTTGAGGTTGTTCATGGTCAGCGTCACCGAGCTCTGCCCGTTGTCCCTGGAGATCCTGAACCGGCCCTGCACCGATGGTGCGTATCTGGTGCTGCCACCATCGTTGCTGATGTACGCGATGAATTCCAGCCCCTGCCCGGGTCTCTGGCGGATCCAGAACATGGCAAAACTGCCGAAATTGAACCCGGACCCTCGGCAGAGGAGGCGCAGGGACCCCCCGGGGGGCTGGAGGTCCCCCCCGGACTCCAGCAGGGTCACGGCCGCCCGGAGCCCTGAGGGGAAAAGGGGAGATGGGGATGAGGGGATGGATCTGGGTGTGGGCCTGAAGTGGGTGTGGCCAGCTGGAAAAAGAGGCAGGACCCACTTAGCAAGGCCAGTAGGAGAAGGAGGATGAGGATTAGGAGGTCTAAGGGTCAGAATTAAGAGCCCAGAGTCAGGATTGGGGTCAATGTTTGAGCTGTTCCCATCCCCATCTCCCCTTTTCCCCGCAGGGCTCCGGGCGGCCGTGACCCTGCTGGAGTCCGGGGGGGACCTCCAGCCCCCCGGGGGGTCCCTGCGCCTCCTCTGCCGAGGCTCCGGGTTCGATTTCGGCAGTTTTGGGATGGGAAATCTTGACCAATTCGATGTAATTTGGGGAAGGAGGGCAGTGGGTGTGGCCCAGAGGTGACATTTGGGGCAGAGCCAGTGCAGGGCTGGGACAACGGGTCAGGAGTGGGGTCAGGGCTGGGGTTTGGTGAAGGGCCTGGGATACAGGGACAGGTGGGACATAGTGATGGGAACTGGGTGAAAACCCGCCCCAACCACCAGAAAAACCAATATTATAAACAGCATCCCAACTATTATCAGCATTTTTGGCACAGAAATAGGATCCGGAATCCGCGTCCCTGAGGTTGTTCATGGTCAGCGTCACCGAGCTCTGCCCGTTGTCCCTGGAGATCCTGACCCGGCCCTTGAACGACGGCACGTACTCGGTGTAGCCAGGCAGAGCTCGGTGACGCTGACCATGAACAACCTCAAGGACGAGGATTCCGGATCCTATTTCTGCGCCAAAGCTGCTGATTCTGACGCTTATCTTTATGCTGCTCATGGTTATTGTTTCGGCCCCATCGCTGTCACCATGTTCCCCCTGTCCCCGTGCCCCAGACCCTTCCCTGCAGCCCCTGACCCCATTCCTGACCCTCTGTCCCACCCTGGCTCTGCTCTGGCCCCAAATCTCAGCTCCTGGCCCCAAATCAGGGCCGCTTTCACCCTCAGCTCAGCCTTGGCCCCCAAATCCCAACCACTGCCCCCAGACTTGGCCACTTCTGCCCCAAATCTGCCCGGCTGGCACCGAGTCACAGCCACCGACCCAAACCTGGCCTCACATCGGGACTTTTGGCCCAAAATTTGAGTTCTGGACCCCTGGCTTCAACATTGGGCCCAAATCCTGACATTTTTGTGACATTTCATGAAAGAGGGCACTGAGTGTGGCCCAGAGGTGACATTTGGGGCAGAACCATTTGGGGTAGCCCAAGGCTGGGACAAAGATCCAAGAATTGGGTCAAGGGTTGATGTTCGGCACAACGATCTGAGGTTTGGGAACCAGAGGGGTGACAGGAATGGGACCTGGGACACAACTTCATATCACCAGCATTATCGCCACCACAACAACCAGCAGCAGATTTGGCACAGAAATAGGATCCGGAATCCTCGTCCTGGAGGTTGTTCATGGTCAGTGTCACCGAGCTCTGCCCGTTGTCCCTGGAGATCCTGACCCGGCCCTTGACCGATGGTGCGTAGTTGGTGTAAGCACCAGTGCTGTCGATCCCTGCGACCCACTCCAGCCCCTGTCCAGGTCTCTGGCGAACCCAGTACATTTCATAATTCCCGAAACTGAACCCGGAGCCTCGGCAGAGGAGGCGCAGGGACCCCCCGGGGGGCTGGAGGTCCCTGCGGCACAAAGGGGAGATGGGGATGAGGGGATGGATGGGCTGTAGGCCTGGGATGGGCATGGTCAGATGAAAAACTGGTGGGACCAACACTGGGAGGGCTAGAAGGAGCATCAAAACAAGAACGTGTTGCATATTGGGGCCAGGAGTCAGGATTTGGGTCAATGTTTGAGCTGTTCCCATCCCCATCTCCCCTTTTCCCCGCAGGGCTCCGGGCGGCCGTGACCCTGCTGGAGTCCGGGGGGGACCTCCAGCCCCCCGGGGGGTCCCTGCGCCTCCTCTGCCGAGGCTCCGGGTTCCTGCAGCCTCCCCCCACTTCCTCCCCGGCAGCTGCAGGGGCGCGGGCGGGCCGGGGCAGGAAAATGAAAAGTTCTGGGTTTGTGTCACCTTTAACACCTGCGTTTCACGGAGGCGCGTCCAGGTCCTGAGCGGCTCAGCAGAACGCCGGCGGCAGGAAAAGCTTTGTGTCACTGCCCTGAATTGCCCAGCACGGCCACGGCCGCTCCCCCCTCCCCAAACCTTCTCTGGTTTGCACCAAACTCCCTTCGCCTGGCCCCAAACCCCCAACAGAGCTTTCCAGAATCAAAAAAGGCTTAAACCCTGCAATTAGCCCAAATCCACTCATTTGTTAATGAGACACTTCTGCTTGAGCTTTCCATCCCCTCATCCCCATCTCCCCTTTTCCCCGCAGGGCTCCGGGCGGCCGTGACCCTGCTGGAGTCCGGGGGGGACCTCCAGCCCCCCGGGGGGTCCCTGCGCCTCCTCTGCCGAGGGTCCGGGTTCGATTTCGGCAGTTTTGGGATGGCCTGGTATCGCCAGAGACCTGGGCAGGGGCTGGAATTTATCGCAAGGATCCACAGCAATGGTGGTTTCATCGAGTACGGGCCGTCAGTGCAGGGCCGGGTCAGGATCTCCAGGGACAACGGGCAGAGCTCGGTGACGCTGACCATGAACAACCTCAAGGACGAGGATTCCGGATCCTATTTCTGCGCCAAATCTGCTGGGGCTTACACTGCTGATCCTGGTCGTAGTGAACATGGCGGTGCTGGCTCCATCCCCATCTCCGAGGCCCCCCAGTCCCCAGAGCCCAGACCCTTCCCCAGACCCCAGCCCCAGACCCAGCTCTTGACCATTGATCCCAGCCTGGCGCTGCCTTGGCCCCAATTCTCACCCGCTGACCCCAAACCACAACTCCTGACCCCAAATCTCCTCTTTGTTCCCCAAAACCTGGCTCTGAAAGTGGAAAATTTAGCATAGGGATCAAGATTTGGGTCGATTTTGTGGCCAGAAGCTGGGAATTTGGGGCAGGCTCAGTCTAGCTTTGGGATATGGGGGCAAGGATGGGGTCAAGGGTTGGGGAAAGGGTCTGAGACATGGGGACTGGTGGGGACATGACAAAGGGGCCGGGGCCCACACAATTACCAGTAAGAGCGGCATTAGCACCAGCAGATTTGGCACAGAAATAGGATCCGGAATCCTCGTCCCGGAGGTTGTTCATGGTCAGCGTCACCGAGCTCTGCCCGTTGTCCCTGGAGATCCTGACCCGGCCCTTGAACGACGGCACGTACTCGGTGTAGCCACCAGTGTTGATCCCCGCGGTAGGGCCCCGGGAGCCACTCCAGCCCCTGCCCGGGTCTCTGGCGCATCCAGAACATGGTGAAACTGCCAAAATCAAACCCGGACCCTCGGCAGAGGAGGCGCAGGGACCCCCCGGGGGGCTGGAGGTCCCTGCGGCACAAAGGGGAGATGGGGATGAGGGGATGGATGGGCTGTAGGCCTGGGATGGGCATGGTCAGATGAAAAACTGGTGGGACCAACACTGGGAGGGCTAGAAGGAGCATCAAAACAAGAACGTGTTGCATATTGGGGCCAGGAGTCAGGATTTGGGTCAATGTTTGAGCTGTTCCCATCCCCATCTCCCCTTTTCCCCGCAGGGCTCCGGGCGGCCGTGACCCTGCTGGAGTCCGGGGGGGACCTCCAGCCCCCCGGGGGGTCCCTGCGCCTCCTCTGCCGAGGCTCCGGGTTCAGGCCGCTCCCACATCCCGAAACCTTCTCTGGTTTTTCCCAAAGTCCCCTGATTTTGTCCCACATCTCCACCAGAGTTTTCCTGCACCCTAAAGGTGCCCCAAACCATTAAATTACCCTCAATCCACACATTAATGAATGGGACGCCTCCACCTGAGCTTTCCATCCCCTCTTCCCCATCTCCCCTTTTCCCCGCAGGGCTCCGGGCGGCCGTGACCCTGCTGGAGTCCGGGGGGGACCTCCAGCCCCCCGGGGGGTCCCTGCGCCTCCTCTGCCGAGGGGCTGGGTTCGATTTCGGGGGTTTTGACGTGCACTGGGTGCGCCAGAGACCCGGGCAGGGGCTGGAGTGGATCGCTCTTGTCACCAGCAGTGGTGGCACCACCCACTACGCGCCATCGTTCAAGGGCCGGGTCAGGATCTCCAGGGACAACGGGCAGAGCTCGGTGACGCTGACCATGAACAACCTCAAGGACGAGGATTCCGGATCCTATTTCTGCGCCAAATGTGGTGCTGCTGGTTGGGGTCCTGCTGCTTGACCCCATCGCTGTCACCGTGTCCCCCCTGTCCCCGTGCCCCAGACCCTTCCCTGCAGCCCCTGACCCCATTCCTGACCCTCTGTCCCACCCTGGCTCTGCTCTGGCCCCAAATCTCAGCTCCTGCCCCAAATCAGGGCCGCTTTCACCCTCAGCTCAGCCTTGGCCCCCAAATCCCAACCACTGCCCCCAGACTTGGCCACTTCTGCCCCAAATCTGCCCGGCTGGCACCGAGTCACAGCCACCGACCCAAACCTGCCCCGGTGGCCTCACATCGGGACTTTTGGCACATAATTTGAATTCTTGACTCCTCACCTCAACCCCTGACCCAAATCTTGACCAATTCGATGTAATTTGGGGAAGGAGGGCAGTGGGTGTGGCCCAGAGGTGACATTTGGGGCAGAGCCAGTGCAGGGCTGGGACAACGGGTCAGGAGTGGGGTCAGGGCTGGGGTTTGGTGAAGGGCCTGGGATACAGGGACAGGGGGGACATAGTGATGGGAACTGGGTGAAAACCCGCCCCAACCACCAGAAAAACCAATATTATAAACAGCATCCCAACTATTATCAGCATTTTTGGCACAGAAATAGGATCCGGAATCCGCGTCCCTGAGGTTGTTCATGGTCAGCGTCACCGAGCTCTGCCCGTTGTCCCTGGAGATCCTGACCCGGCCCTTGAACGACGGCACGTACTCGGTGTAGCCACCAGTGTTGATCCCCGCGAGCCACTCCAGCCCCTGCCCGGGTCTCTGGCGCATCCAGAACATGGTGAAACTGCCAAAATCAAACCCGGACCCTCGGCAGAGGAGGCGCAGGGACCCCCCGGGGGGCTGGAGGTCCCTGCGGCACAAAGGGGAGATGGGGATGAGGGGATGGATGGGCTGTAGGCCTGGGATGGGCATGGTCAGATGAAAAACTGGTGGGACCAACACTGGGAGGGCTAGAAGGAGCATCAAAACAAGAACGTGTTGCATATTGGGGCCAGGAGTCAGGATTTGGGTCAATGTTTGAGCTGTTCCCATCCCCATCTCCCCTTTTCCCCGCAGGGCTCCGGGCGGCCGTGACCCTGCTGGAGTCCGGGGGGGACCTCCAGCCCCCCGGGGGGTCCCTGCGCCTCCTCTGCCGAGGGGCTGGCTTCGATTTTGGGAAGTTTGCCATGTTCTGGATCCGCCAGAGACCCGGGCAGGCGCTGGAGTGGGTTGCCAGTATCAGCAGGAGCAGTGGCAGCACCGGCTACGCGGACTCGGTCAAAGGACGTTTCACGATGGCGAGCGACAACGGGCAGAGCTCGGTGACGCTGACCATGAACAACCTCCGGGACGAGGATTCCGGATCCTATTTCTGTGCCAAATCTGCTGGTGCTAATGCCGCTCTTACTGGTAATTGTGTGGGCCCCGGCCCCTTTGTCATGTCCCCACCAGTCCCCATGTCTCAGACCCTTTCCCCAACCCTTGACCCCATCCTTGCCCCCATATCCCAAAGCTAGACTGAGCCTGCCCCAAATTCCCAGCTTCTGGCCACAAAATCGACCCAAATCTTGATCCCTATGCTAAATTTTCCACTTTCAGAGCCAGGTTTTGGGGAACAAAGAGGAGATTTGGGGTCAGGAGTTGTGGTTTGGGGTCAGCGGGTGAGAATTGGGGCCAAGGCAGCGCCAGGCTGGGATCAATGGTCAAGAGCTGGGTCTGGGGCTGGGGTCTGGGGGAAGGGTCTGGGCTCTGGGGACTGGGGGGACTCGGAGATGGGGATGGAGCCAGCACCGCCATGTTCACTACGACCAGGATCAGCAGTGTAAGCCCCAGCAGATTTGGCGCAGAAATAGGATCCGGAATCCTCGTCCTTGAGGTTGTTCATGGTCAGCGTCACCGAGCTCTGCCCGTTGTCCCTGGAGATCCTGACCCGGCCCTGCACTGACGGCCCGTACTCGATGAAACCACCATTGCTGTGGATCCTTGCGATAAATTCCAGCCCCTGCCCAGGTCTCTGGCGATACCAGGCCATCCCAAAACTGCCGAAATCGAACCCGGACCCTCGGCAGAGGAGGCGCAGGGACCCCCCGGGGGGCTGGAGGTCCCCCCCGGACTCCAGCAGGGTCACGGCCGCCCGGAGCCCTGCGGGGAAAAGGGGAGATGGGGATGAGGGGATGGAAAGCTCAAGCAGAAGTGTCTCATTAACAAATGAGTGGATTTGGGCTAATTGCAGGGTTTAAGCCTTTTTTGATTCTGGAAAGCTCTGTTGGGGGTTTGGGGCCAGGCGAAGGGAGTTTGGTGCAAACCAGAGAAGGTTTGGGGAGGGGGGAGCGGCCGTGGCCGTGCTGGGCAATTCAGGGCAGTGACACAAAGCTTTTCCTGCCGCCGGCGTTCTGCTGAGCCGCTCAGGACCTGGACGCGCCTCCGTGAAACGCAGGTGTTAAAGGTGACACAAACCCAGAACTTTTCATTTTCCTGCCCCGGCCCGCCCGCGCCCCTGCAGCTGCCGGGGAGGAAGTGGGGGGAGGCTGCAGAGCCCCAAAATCTCGGCGTCTCCTCCTCCCTCCCCTCTGGCGCCTCACTGCTCCCTCCCCGGGCGCCGTGCCTTGGTGCTGCTCCTCGGTTTTGGGGTGCAGGGCCACGAGGGCACGCCTGGGGCTCCTTTTCTCCAGGGGAGCACCCCCAGCTCCCTCAGGGGCTCCCATCAGGGTTGGGGTCCCCAGCCCCTCTCCAGCCTGGCTGGCCCCTCTGGATGCCCTCCAGTGTCCCGAGGTCCGTCCCAAAGGGAGGGGACAGAGCCGGGCGCGGCGCTGGAGGTGTGACCCCAGCAGTGCCCAGGACAGGGCAGGAGTGACCTCCCTGCCCCTGTGGGCACGGCGAGCATGGGGCCAGGATTTGGGGTCAGGAGATGAGATTTGGGGCCAGGATTTGGGGCCAGGAGATGAGATTTGGGGCCAGGAGAGGAGATTTGGGGCCAGGAGAGGAGATTTGGGGTGAGGAGATGAGATTTGGGGCCAGGAGAGGAGATTTGGGGCCGGGAGAGGAGATTTGGGGTGAGGAGATGAGATTTGGGGCCAGGAGAGGAGATTTGGGGTGAGGAGATGAGATTTGGGGCCAGGAGAGGAGATTTGGGGCCAGGAGAGGAGATTTGGGGCCGGGAGAGGAGATTTGGGGCCAAGAGATGAGATTTGGGGCCAAAACAGTGCAAGGCTGGGACAAAGAGACAACAACGGGGTCGAAGCTTGTGGGGAAGTGCCTGGAACATGCAGAGAAGTGGAGACGCAGGGATTGGATCGGGAAAAAAATCCAAAATCTGATGAATGAACAATGCGAAAAGCAGCAGCCCAATTACCAGCAGCAGCACGTTTGGCACAGAAATAGGATCCGGAATCCTCGTCCTTGAGGCTGTTCATGGTCAGCGTCACCGAGCTCTGCCCGTTGTCCCTGGAGATCCTGACCCGGCCCCGCACCGAGGGCGCGTAGGCGGTGTAACCACCATTGTTGTTGATACTTGCGACGTATTCCAGCCCCTGCCCGGGTCTCTGACGTATCCAGTACATCCCATAATTCCCAAAACTGAACCCGGAGGCTCGGCAGAGGAGGCGCAGGGACCCCCCGGGGGGCTGGAGGTCCCCCCCGGACTCCAGCAGGGTCACGGCCGCCCGGAGCCCTGCGGGAAAAGGGGAGATGGGGATGAGGGGATGGAAAGGTCAGGTGGAGGCGCCAAATTCATTAATGAGTGGATTGAGGTTAATTGAACGGTTTGGGGCACCTTTAGGGTGCAGGAAACCTCTGGTGGAGATGTGAGACAAAATCAGGGCAGTCTGGGGAAAACCAGGGAAGGTTTGGGGATGGGAGAGCGGCCGTGACCCTGCTGGAGTCCGGGGGGGACCTCCAGCCCCCCGGGGGGTCCCTGCGCCTCCTCTGCCGAGGCTCCGGGTTCAGTTTTGGCACTTATGGCATGCAGTGGATCCGCCAGAGACCCGGGCAGGCGCTGGAGTGGCTCGCAGGGATCAGCAACGGTGGTAGCACCGACTACGCGCCATCAGTCAAGGGCCGGGTCAGGATCTCCAGGGACAACGGGCAGAGCTCGGTGACGCTGACCATGAACAACCTCAAGGACGAGGATTCCGGATCCTATTTCTGTGCCAAAGCTGCTTATGCTGGTACTTGGGGTGCTGCTGCTTATGTTGAAGGTGCCAGGGGTGGATCCCTGGCCCCATCTCAGTGTCCCCACCTGTCCCCATGCCCCAGACCCTTCCCCCAAACCTCAGCCCGTGGCCCTTTGTCTCAAGTCTCCCCCATTTCCACCAATGCTGAGCGCTGACCCCAAACCCAGCTGGTTTGGCACCATAATTCACCCAATTCTGCCCCAAATCTCCACTTTGGGCTCCCAGCCAGAGCTGCTGACACAAATCCTCAACGTTTTCCCCCAAATCTAGACCCATGGCCTCAAATCCTGACCTTCAGAGCCAGGATTTGGGGAAGAAAGTGGAGATTTGGGGTCAGGAGTTGTGGTTTGGGGTCAGCGGGTGAGAATTGGGGCCAAGGCAGTGCCAGGCTGGGATCAATGGTCAAGAGCTGGGTCTGGGGCTGGGGTCTGGGGAAGGGTCTGGGCTCTGGGGACTGGGGGGACTCGGACATGGTGGAAGGACCATCCCTGGCATCGTCACCATAACCAGCAGCAACATTCCAAACATCATAAGCATTTCTGGCACAGAAATAGGATCCGGAATCCTCGTCCTTGAGGTTGTTCATGGTCAGCGTCACCGAGCTCTGCCCATTGTCCCTGGAGATCGTGAACCGGCCCTTGACCGATGGCGCGTAGTAGATGTAAGCACCATTGCTGTTGATACTTGCGACGTATTCCAGCCCCTGCCCGGGTCTCTGGCGGATCCAGCACATGTCATAGCTCCCAAACGTTTTGTGATACTGGAAACCTCTGGTGGAGATCTGGGACAAAATCGGGGAGTTTGGGCTAAAACCAGAGAAGGTTTGGGGATGGGGGAGTGACTGTAACCCTGCTGGAGTCCGGGGGGGACCTCCAGCCCCCCGGGGGGTCCCTGCGCCTCCTCTGCCGAACATCCGGGTTCGATTTTGGGGGTTTTGGCATGCTCTGGATGCGCCAGAGACCCGGGCAGGCGCTGGAGTTCGTCGCAGGGATCAGCAGAAAAAGTGGCAACACTTTCTACGCGGATTCGGTCAAGGGCCGGTTCACGATGACGAGTGACAACGGGCAGAGCTCGGTGACGCTGACCATGAACAACCTCAAGGACGAGGATTCCGGATCCTATTTCTGTGCCAAACAAGCTGGTAATGGTTGTTGTGGTGCTGGTGCTAATCTTGACTGATGTGATCCATTCACCGTGTCCCCCCTGTCCCCGTGCCCCAGACCCTTCCCCCAAACCCCATCCCTTCACCCCACTCCTGTCCCCCTGTCCCAGCTCTGAATTCATTCAGCCCCAAATCTTCTCCATTTTCCCCCAAATTCTCAGCTCTCAGCCCCACCTCTTCACCGCTGGTGCCAATTTTTGTGGCAAACCCTCAGGCCTGGGTGCCCGCAGCAGCCGGGGTTTGGTGCCAGGGGTGCAGATCTGGGGCTGCCCCAGAGGGATTTTCAGGCCGATGGGCACAAGGGAAGGGGGCGGAAATCTGGGGTGAAAGGCTGGGATTTGGGGGACGGCTCTGGGCAAACGGCCCGAGGGCGAGGGGAAGGCTGAGGTTTGGGAGAAATGGGCAAAATTGGGATAAAAATCCAGAATTTGGGCAGCAGGGGTGGAGTCTGTGGGAAAATGGCTGCAAAATGGGAGAAGAATGGCTGGGATTGGAGGCATTTGTTGACCACCATGGGGATGGGGCCCGAAGTGCAGCCAAAGGCAGCAGCAGCAGCAGCAGGAGCATAACCACTACCAAAACATTTGGCACAGAAATAGGATCCGGAATCCTCGTCCCTGAGGTTGTTCATGGTCAGCGTCACCGAGCTCTGCCCGTTGTCCCTCGAGATCGTGAACCGGCCCTGCACCGACGGCGCGTAGTAGGTGCTGCGACCTTTGTAGGAGATCCACGCAACGAATTCCAGCGCCTGCCCGGGTCTCTGGCGCATCCAGCCCATGTCGTAGCTCCCGAAATTGAACCCGGACCCTCGGCAGAGGAGGCGCAGGGACCCCCCGGGGGGCTGGAGGTCCCCCCCGCACTCCAGCAGGGTCACGGCCGCCCGGAGCTCTGCGGGGAAAAGGGGAGATGGGGATGAGGGGATGGAAAGCTCAGGAGGAGTTGTCCAATTAATTAATGGGTGGAGCAAGATTAATTGAACGGTTTGAGGCACCTCTAAGATACAGGAAAGCTCTGGTGGAGATTTGGGGCCAGGAGATGAGATTTGGGGTGAGGAGATGAGATTTGGGGCCAAAACAGTGCAAGGCTGGGACAAAGAGACAACAACGGGGTCGAAGTTTGTGGGGAAGTGTCTGGGGCATGCGGAGAAGTGGAGACGCAGGGATTGGATCGGGGAAAAAACCCAAATCCGACGAATCAACAATGCGATAAACAGCAGCCCAACCACCAGCAGCAGGAGCAGTTTTGGCGCAGAAATAGGATCCGGAATCCTCGTCCTGGAGGTTGTTCATGGTCAGCGTCACCGAGCTCTGCCCGTTGTCCCTGGAGATCGTGAACCGGCCCCGCACCGAATCCGCGTAGTTGGTGTTGGCGCCGCTTTTGCTGATGCCGGCAACGAACTCCAGCCCCTGCCCGGGTCTCTGACGCACCCAGAACATCCCAAAATTCCCGAAATTGAACCCAGACCCTCGGCAGAGGAGGCGC